CATCTCCTGTTTCACAGGAGGGTGAAGGCCTGTGGTGAAAAGAAGATAAAAAGAAATGGTGTTGGAAATGCGCCCTGAGGAGAACAGCAAGTCTCAGGTGTCTTAGAACATATTTGAATTGCCTCTTTCATCCCGCGGCACTTTTGAATCTATTTCCAAAGCAGGGTTTTTACAATCAGAAGGTTTCATTGGCAGCATGCTCAAAAGTCGAGAAGGCTGGCTCAGTTTTTCAAGGAAGACCTTCGCAGTACAAAATTCATGGAATTCTCCATTTGTCCCGACTAACCCAATTGACATTCCGAAGGAAATGGTGCTGATATCTCCGTGAGTCATAGACACCCAAGAAGTGCCTGCGCTACAGTTGCAGAGCCAATTTTTTGGAACTAAATCCGCACCTTGAACATCCTTGAACATCCTTGAACATCCTGCTTGATCTGCTTGCTACTCTTGCTACTCTGCTGTGTGTTGCATTGAGCAAACACTCATCCCTTGAACCCGGATCAGTGCCGCATTGTCCGCCTCAGTTGCAGCGCGCCTTGGCTGAGCACAAGGAGGAGTTGCAGCAGGGGCCCCAGGGGACCCAAGAGAAGCGGCATCTGTTGAGCCGAAGAACTGATGAAAGCAAGCTGGGATTAAAGCTGGAACAGCAGCTGGGATTATCTGGGATTCTTACTGTATTATTCTTGATGTTGCCATGACTGTCACTGTCATGTTGTTTGCCTCAAGCCATGGACGACTGCTGGTTCCTGAAGCAAACTTGCTGAGGCTTGTAAAGCGTTCGGCGCAGCAGCAGGTCCAGGAGAGCAATGAATTCTAACCATGCCTTGAATTCTCCAAACATGACAAGAACAGGCCCATGCCTTGAAGCGCAGCCAGCAACTGGGACAAGTTCTGATTTCTGCAATGGCTGAGAGAGAGAGAGAGAGTACTTACGCACGAAAAGCGCATTTGATGTGGGATATCTAGCGTCCAGCCAAGACTTCAAATTGAGGCTTGAATCAACCTTTGCTTTGCGCGCAGGAAATCACATTGAAAGCCAAGGAGAGATTTCAACAGGCCGTGCAGTTACCAGTCTGGGATAATGGTGTGATGTCTCTCCAACATTTTGTAGCATGCCTTGTCTTTTCGGGGGACCTACTGTCTTGTGGAGGCAACCGAAGAACACGAACGTGAAAGACAGGCCCGTTGGGTGAAGTGAAAGATACGACAACAGAATTTGGCATAGTGAGAGACTATCCATTTTAATCCTTTCTCCATCGGCACCACAGCAAGTACAGCAACTTTCGTGAGACCTGGTGGTTTTGTTTGACCTGTGATACCTGTGTTTTGAGAAACCTGGGTTTCCACTGGTGGTATGTCAATCAACAGGTGACCTCGGCGGCCAAAATCACAGCAAATGATTTCCTTCTCCTCGGGAAGCATTCAATATTGCAAATGAGTTCTTGCGTGAGCTGCTTGCAATATTGCTTTGCTACAACCCGCCCTGGAAGCTTGAAATAGGCTCAATAGCACATATAGTCCATGGTCATCCATGGTCCAGCTATGTCCAGCTATGTCCAGCTTTTCCATACCCAGCAGCCCAACCCCTGCCGACACTTTAGTCTCGGTAGAGCCTTCAAGATCTTCAAGGCCGCCAGCAAGGTGATCTGTGAAAGACACGCCCCGAGAACCACAACCCGTAGTAAAAACATGTAAGAACTCGAAAAGTTTGAAGAATTTGACCAGCTTGCATATTGATATTACATGATATGTCTTGAATTTTCCTGTCCATGGTCAAAAGTTAGTTATACACTTATACATTATATTTCATTATAATTAAAGAAAACCAAACATCTCCAACATCTTAAGCCCACCATGTCAGCTCTGATTTTTTGTGGCGCTGTTCGAACCTCGTTGAAGACACGGCTGCTGCACAGCTTCTCCCGGCCGCGCCATGCCGCGCCCACGGCGCTGCCGGACGAGCCGTGAGATGCGCCATGCGTAGGAGCCGTGAGACGCCCAGATTTGCAGAACCTTTCACCGGTGAAATTGTCATCAACATTCAGAAACTAACTAGAAACCAAATATAGAAACCAATTTATATAATTCTATTAATATCTATTAATATATATAGGCATAAAAAGGCTGCAACCAATCTTAGTATAATATACAGTAATTCGAATAACATATTTACTAACAGTAAATTAATGTGAAATATACAAAGATCACATACCATGAATCGTAAATTCATTGACAATCACAAGATTTGGATCGTGCCATGTTCCCGGATGTAGCCTTCTGCTGCTCAGGCAGCCCCAGTGGTCGATGGCCGCCACTGCTTCGGCCCAACTTGGCTAATAGGTTCCAGGCACGGGGTGGCACTGGTTGAGACGGATAATTTGGATAGACTCGGACAGACATGATGAAGCAACCTTCAGAAACTGGTTTAATCCAAGAAGCTCCTTGACTTTGGGACTTTGACTTGGAAATGACTGACTGACAAGCAAAGTGAAACCATAGCTTTAGTGTCCAAACACTTATATAGGTCGCCATGTACACATGATCTGAGGCAAAAGTGGAAGTGGTGTGGTAGCATCGAGTGAAAGTGGAGGGGTTAGAAGCGAACAAAAAACCAGCCTTGGCTTGAATAATAGACACTTGCGTGACTGCATGCTAAGCCTTTCAAAAACTCTTGCAGCTTTTTTTCTTGTTTCTGTGCCCAGTAAGTTGTCAACTAAATGTCAACTGATGCTGACGTTGGCAGTAAAAGATCATCAACCTCTGAGTTTTGAAAGTTTGATGAAACATATTGAAACCAGCCCGGAGGGTGACACCTATGCTAGAGAGGAGAGAAGGGATGCGAGGGATGACAGAAGATTCGAGGATAGGAGGGACGCGAGGGACGGACGGGAGGAGCGTCGAGACGATCGAAGAGACGACCGGAGGGAACGCCGAGAAGATCGCTTCTATGACTATGAGGGTCGCAGGATTGAAGGAACTTCTGGTCGCGCCGAAAGGGACGATAGAAGTCAGGTCCTCAGCTCACAGATGTGAACGAGACAAATGAGACACTGATGATATGCTGATGCTTTGCAAGTCTTTGGATCGTTGTTCCTGTCCTTAAGTACATGTTCAAGCGTTCCCGCGTACTAGCCAGTAAAGTACCGAATACAATTCATTCGGGCGATTCGGAGCAGTGCTTGATGTCATATTATTATGCTTCTTTCAGCAATGCTTTTAGATTTTGATTAACTACTGTAGCCAGGTTTATTCCCAGGACCTTAAGACTGCTTTCCAACAGCAAGAAGACACGTAGAGATCAGTTATTATAATTTATTATAAACAATATATACATGCATAATATTATTTGTTTAATGATATATATATATACAAAATTATACAAATATCATGCTTGGATGAGCACTTCAAACTGTACATCGCACTTTTTGTCTTTCATTTGCCCCTTTTGAGATTTTTGAGCATGTGTTGTCACTTGTCAAAACAAACTTTATATTGTATAAATCGTTGGAGCCGATACTTAAGCTTGTTCTCAAATCAAGTAAGATTCCGGCCAACGCAAACCAGATACAAGTAGCTCATGGCGTTTCTAAGGACGCAATGACCGCGACGCCAGATATGGTGGATATAGCGGATACAGGCCAGCTTTCATCCAGTGAGGCCATTCAGATATGAGTGTTTTGCTACATTTGCTACATAGTTGCAGTCCTCTCTTGGAGATCATGAAATTGACAATCTGCAGTGCACCCGATCACCCTAGACATTGACCTATGGAGAATCATCCTTGATTTTGCTGTCCGCCAGTTTTGACCCCTTGTAAAAACCAAGCAGCCTTTTCCGGCTGTCAGATCCCCCCGACGACGGAGCCGCAGTGAGAAGCTCAGTGGTGATGGGGTTGGAATGGATTGATCATGCGGCGCCATTGTGATTCTGAAGGCTTATTATTGTTACAAATGGTGAGCTACGGGATGCTACTAGTAGTGTTTTTTGCATAATTGCACCTGGATCGGTTGAAGGTTTCTAATAGAGGATAACCCTAGCAGTCAACTTAGATCAACTTAGTAAGTAGTCCATACTTGTAGTTCATCCCAGACCGATCTAGCTCACAGCATCTCCCACCTGATCCCACAAGGTCGGGAGAATGGCCGCCCCTCACTGCCACGCGCCAATGCCCGTGACGGTGGGCGGCACATGTCTCAATATTCTGCGAAGCCACTAGGACGACAAGAGAGACAAGAGAGATCAAGAGAGAGATCAAGAGAGAGATCAAGAGAGAGATCAAGAGAGAGATCAAGAGAGAGATCAAGAGAGAGATCAAGAGAGAGAACAGAGAGATTGGAGAAACCTCCTCTAGAAAGGCTAGAGAGATTAGAGAGGCCGGAGAGGCCAGTCGAAAGAGAAACTGAAAAACTAGAGCAAACTGAGCAAACATTGAAGCCACTGGAGACGGAGAAGCCAGAGTCCAGGCCGGGACATCCCAAAAAACTCTTTCTGAGGACATGTTGAATCCTCAGAAACAGGCATAACTGCGGCATAACAGGCAAAGTGGACTCGGTATATGACTTGCGGATTCATCAATGAAAGAGCTCTCTGTGATTGAGCACAGTTTAGAATTGACCTGCACACCTTGTAATTTCAAGCCACCCAAAGGCAGATAGCTAACATGGAAAGAATACCTCAAAACACTCGAAGTGATTGCACTTAATTATTCATTATAGAGATGAGAAAAACAAATCAAACAGTCTCACAGAATCCCAAGGCCGCTGGGAAGATGCATGTGGGGCACCACTCTCACGTGTGGCATCGTTGCACAGGCAAGAAGTACCTGAGTCTGAAGAGAGACGCCCCCGAAGAAGGTAGGGAGCCCATGGGAGCCGTTTACATGAAGCAGTAACCTTTTCAGTCGTCGGAAAGCATCGGAAAACTGTGAAACGCTGTAGGATTTCTTTGCACTTTCTTGGCCGAGGAGAGGCTTTGAGGATGTTCCCCCAAATACTGGTCCCATGCCCAACTTGGCGCAGGGCTTGCGAACTCATGTGCCTGTGCTGCATCAATTTGGCCAACATCACTGATCACATGTGACACGTGTGACGTGTGACGTGTGACGTGTGTGGTGTGACGTGTGTGTGTGTGTGACACATCTGAATAGATGTAAAACTTCTTTTGTTGTTGTTACCTTCTTTACATGCAGGGGGCATGGCAGCTGTTTCCCTAGCCATGCCAACGAATCTATGGGATCCAGCCGGAAGGGAATGTGGACGCACATTCCTGTACCTGCATTTCTGTTCGTATGGCAAGCGGCCAAGCCTAGAACCGCACTGCGGAATTTTACTTCACGGTTGTCGCAATCTGGTATTTTTTTCTGTTATCAACATGACGATCCTATTCATTTTTTGGAGTCTGGTTTCGACTACGTTTGACATTATTGGAAGCCCTACACCGTTTTCGAGAAGTACTACCAGGGGATCTACTTTAGGTCTAATTGTCTAGGCTGGTTTGCATGTTACAGGACTCAGTTCCTGACGGATCTATTCAAAGATCCATTCTTGTCTAGTGTAATACCTATGGTGACTCCAACAAGGTGCCATAGGACCACTGGAGGCAACCCCTTTGTGGGTGACTGCGGACAGACTTGACTTCCGAATTTACACACTTTAATTTGTTAATTCATCTAAGTAAAGCGAAACAGTTGGCCTTTCGGTTTTGCACCATTTTGTCCCGTCCCGCCATTCCGCAATTCCCAGGGAATCCTGGTTACTGCACTTCTTCGACTGTGAAGCCGTGCTGAACAATCAGAAACTCCGTTTTTTACTGCAGCTTCAGCTTTTGACAAACTGTCACAACAACAAAGGCAGGCACATGCTTTTCAGGTGTGGTCTTTTTCCTTTTGATGGTTTTCTGGTGAGGTTGAACATATTGTGCATCTAATTCGGTGGAACTTGAACAGCTGTTATATGCCCTCGTGGCTGACCTGACTACCGTCCCAGCAAGGGAACAACGCACGACCTCTAGGTTTAAAGGAGCTGAGTCCTGGATTTGATTGTTCTCACCGTATTTTACTAAATTTCGAGCAATGTTTCCGTGGACTCGTTCTTCGACCTCATGGCCACCTTCTTCGAGTTCACCGCCTACGGCACCGACTTGGCCACCCACAGCACTCGTCAACGATACACCCTGCCATGCCTTGGACATCTCCTCCACCGACATCCACTCCACCTACAGTGCATCACCATCCCGGACACCAACATGACCAACCACACTATCAATTTCCCTCGCCCGCATACCCGACGTTGACACCAGGACCTCCGGACCAGTCATCATGGTCTACTTTGACTCCCGTTTCGACCGCGACTTGTTCACCTACACCACCAACATTCCCAATCACACTACCAATCCAAACCAAGTTTTTTCAACACTTTCACATCAACTTCCTCCAACGATGCCAGCGACCAACCGCTTCGAAGAACCTCCTTTTCCCACTGGAATGCCAACTTTTGCCGCCCACGCTGGACCTTCGGTTTCTGTTCCATGCCAAACTATACCATCCCCTGGGCCGTCCGCACATTGTCCAGTTCCTCATTCTCATGCTACCTGTTACCACCTCAACCTGTCCTTGCCACTCCTCTACAGGCACCGACACCATCTCCAGCCGCACCCAAACACACGGCCGTGAAAGCCGCACCGAAGGTTCGCATGGAAAAACGTTCAGAAAAACCTCGCCGTCCTGCTCACCCACCAACGGCTCCACCTCCTACGGCTACACATCCTCCAACTCCAACAACTGCTTCTCAACACGAACTCACAGCCTTGGGAACCACTGCCAAGGAACTTGCTGAATCTGTTCGCCTCATTCAACAACAACAACAACAACAACAACAGAAACAGATCACCATCGAATCTCAACGTCTCCAACGACGACGACGACGACGACCACAACGACGACAACAACAACAACAACAGATCACCATCAAATCTCACAACGACGACGACGACGACGACGACGACGACATTAACAACAACAACAACAACAACAACAACAACACCAACAGAAACAGCAACAGCAACAGCAACTTCGCCAAGTTCCTCCCACTACCACCGTACCTCTCCATCACCGACCACTTCAGCTCCAGCCGCCAAAGCAAGACCCACCGAACCGCAAGCTCCAGCTTCTACCACCACTACAAGCAAAACGGCACCACCGATTCGAATTTCATCCAAATCACCAATGACTGGGACCTCTGCGCATCGCCCTCGCCGATCTCCATCTCGCCGACGTGTACCTCATCGCCCACAACGTCCTTCTCCACATCGCCGACAAACACGTCCTCGATCTCCTCTACCACGACAACGCTCTACTACACAAAACCCCAAAAGTCGCCGAACACCTTCACCACACCGTCGCCGATCTCCTCCTCGTTGTACAGGTCCTCCTCGCCGTCATCGAACTCCGGATCCTCCTCGTCGCAGTCGAACACCTTCCCGCAATCCCATTGTCTTGACACCGGCATCTCGACAACTGAACCCTTCATTTATTCCTACCCCTGATGCTGACGAATCCTGGGGAAACTGGGAAGACACCCAGCCTATCCCAGCCTGATGTTCGCCGACCTCGATCTCCTCCTGGTCCTCCTCCACCGACACCTCCATCTGGGCCTGTGGATGCTGTGAACTACAGAATCGCCAACGGAGACTCCGACGACTCTGACCAAGAACAACATTTTACTATTGCAATTATGATCCCAACGACATTGATGTGGAAGAGATGAAAGCAGCTGCGGCAGATCCCGAGAGGGTCCTTTGTGTTGCTGAATTGGATCCCTCTCATTCCGTTCAACTCCAAACAACACTGGACCATCCTATATACACGCTTATTATTCAACAACTTCATCGATGAAATGTTCACCCAACTGGCGAAGCCCTACCTCACGAAAGCAAATGAAACCGTTTACATCAAAGCAAGCCGTGCCACAGTGACCAATATTGCACAATGTTTTGCCCAGGCAAGGCTATTGGACGTCAACTTAGCAAAGAGGACTCGGGGTGACTTCGTCGAACCGGAATGCTTGCTGACCATCACGGTTCCCACGGGCCTCCCTCCGAAGGACACCTACAAAGGAGAGTTCGCCGGGACCTACGTCAGCTATCACAAAACCAGCTGGGAATCAGTTGCCAAAATATTGACGGAAAATTGTGTCCGACCAGCCAGCTGGACAAAGAACGACCCATGTTACGGGTTCTTCGGATACTCTTGCGAGATTACAGACCCGGATGACTTGAAGCTCTGGCCGATCAGGGTCTGCACATCCAACCTCTACAAGATTGGCAAGGGACAAAACCCTTCGGGGATCCTGGCAACGTGCAGGTGCCCAAAACTGATCAAGGCCCAATCGGGAGGAAACGACCAAATCCAACGTCTCTGTGCTTTCCAAGGCATTGCTAAGGGCAAAGATGGCGCAACGGCCATGAACTCCAAGTGCGCATCGGTCTCCTACATGGCATCCACCCACCAGGTCTTCCCGCAGCTGATCACCAAGGCTCCTATTCCCAACTGTGGCTCTACGTCTTCAGTTGCCGGCGATCCTCCTGAACCTTCAACATCCAATACGACTCCTCCACCAAACACTGAGGCTACCACTATTGACACAGCTCCCACTCCAAACACGGCAACCCACCATCGAGCCCGAGTACCCGATGATCGCAGTTCTCATCCAGGCACCTCTGAACCTCACCACCGGGCTACCATCGGGAATCCTACTCTTCCTGGAACAGAAATGCCCGTGATCGCCGTGATCATTCATCTACCTACCGTGAGGGACGCTCCCGGGATTATCATCGTGAAGGATCCTCGAGACACCACCCCTCAAACCGTGATGCAGAACGCACATCTTGGTGACCACTACATCCAGGACTTGCACTTTTGAACCCGGATGACACCGAACGGCCTATTTTGGAGTAACAATGCTTCTCCCGTCAGGCACAAACACTCAGCGTCACCTCTTCCGTCAAAATTGACCTGCAGATGCTATTTTTGCTGACATTTCTAGGTCGTTTTCTCGTTCTTGATTTTGGGTTTGATCCGATGCATCAATTTGTTGACAGCAATGGCTGGGGCTAAGCCTACTATGGTGCCCCAAAAAGTTAGTAACTGGTTATAACTTTAGTTATACAAAAAGTTATGAAAATTATGAAATGAAGCAAATATCAACTATTTTGTCACATTTTTATAATTTAGCAAAATAGAAAAACACTTGTTTTTATTGTATCGAAAACAATATTTTTTCTAATTATAGCGGTTGAGCCGCTTCGAAGTTGTTTTTTTTGAAAAATGCGCGGTTTTCACCGCTTCTATGGCTGAGGGAATGTGCAACTGGTTTTTAAACAGAACAGGCCACTGTGGGAGCGCGCCTTTTTAGGTGCTTTATGCACCTGCAATGGGTTAGTTTGCTCTTTGCAATCTCACCTTTGCAGTTTCTTTTTTTTACAAAGACAAAAAAAGAAACCAAAAAACAAAAAAGCAAGAAAAAACACAAGACCCAACAAACTGCATCTGACCCCCTCCCCTTGGGGTGTGCAATCTTGTTTTTTTTGGGGGGGTTTCTTGGTGTTTTGCTTTCTTGGTTCGTTGTTTCTTTTGAGGGACTGGCAAAAAAAGTGGCAGGATCTAACTATTTGCCACTTTTCCCCCCTTAGGCATTGCAAATTTGTTTGTCGTTGTTTCTGCTTGCTTTACGTCTCTGGTTCCATTAGAAACCATGTAAAAACCAAGGAAAAACAGGTATCCTTGGGGGAAGGTTAGGGGCTTGGGGCATGGATCAAACAATTTTGTTTTTGACTTATTTTTGAAAACATGCCAGAAGACTATGAAAAAACAAAGGCAGCCAATGAGTACGTTTTTTTGATATTGACATTGCTGACTATAAACCCCAGTTTCCCTAGTACATCCCAATATATCCCACCCATATGGGAATGTCTCAAAATGAGGCGAGCCCTTTTTTTAAAGTAGCGTTTTGGGGGTCAAAAAGGGCGCGCCTCATTT